GTGGAATAATTTTAAACATTACGTAACGGGTTAACTCTGAGAATCAATTTCTCATTCACCCTCTACCATTTTTGGCGTAATATTTGTCAAAACATTTATCTCATTTAAGAGAAAACACGTCCATTAATTAACGGTCAAAACCGTTACTGGACCTATTGACAAATATACCCAAGTTGGTCCAATTAATGCCTAATAAAAATGCCAAAAATTCCAACAGTTTACCAATCAAATTCATCTTTCTTATGTGTAAGGAAATCAAAAAGTAATTTATTTATATAATGTAATGAATGAGTTTGAATATAATAGGAAGCTCTGGCTATATCTCGATGCAGTTGGTTCGCAAAACTCCACCATCATTTCTGATCAACAGATTCTAATTAGTCGAATCTACTGCCATACTCTCATTTTATTGAAAATAAATATATATGGAACGACACTGAACTAGCTTGAATTCATTGGTGTGCGTAATTATTATTAATCATATTATACTACAGATTTGCAATATATTTGATAAATTGCGATGACACAATGCCTCGTTTTGGATTGGCTCCCACTAAATTGCCAACATCTGGTGGTTTCTAACAGTATACTCCTACTAGGCTACATTGGGAAAATCCATTTTTAAAGCCTTGTATCATCTGAAGCACTACAAAAATCTCATTATCCAATGCTCTTTCATCATAAAACCGTTCTAATCGTAACAATAAATTTAATTTTTCTTTTGGGCTATAATGTGATTCCTTCTGGTTCCTCATATGATATGTCAATGCCACAACCCAATTTGACCACACAACAAGGCAGCTTTCCACCATCTATTTTGTTATCAGACAAATTTATCAAACAGTACGACGACCAAAATTGGACCGCTATTATTTGTGCCAAACAGTCAAACTTCAAACCAAATTTATAAACAAATTTACCCACATTAAAAACAAAACTGATTCAGAAAAGAAACTGATGGGCCGATATCTAGAGGACGGCCCAAATGAACCATTTAAACAGCTTCGGGTCAAGCACCTGTGGAATACTCAAGCTGGGCCGGCCCAAGGAGCTGGGCCTAGTTAACCTCAGGCCAAGCGCAGCTGGCAGAGTCAGTCCGGAGAAGGAGACGGAGCTGATTGGCCGTTACGGAGCCGGAAAAAGGGGATCGCGCCCTTGGACGGGCTAAACTCCATCGGTTACGCTTCACCTTAATTGTTGAGAGCTCGTGTATAAATAGAAGGGACCCGAAAGGGGAGAACTCAAGCTAAATCAAGCTAGTAATACACATCCAATTCTCGAATTCTTGTTCTTAATTTTGTTCTTGCGATCCGCTCTGTAAATCGGATCATTTGGTGGATTTATTGTCCATCAAATTGGTGCTCTCGTTGAGAGTTCGAGAATCATACTCGGAAGAAATCCTCCACAACGACGATGGTGCAAACACGTAGCAACGCCAACGTAGGTACCGGAGTTCCCCAACAGGGGGAGAACAGCGCCACCGGAGGTCGGCACCCCCCCATCACCACCGGGGAGGCTGAGGCCCTCATTCAGAGGGTTGGGATCACGACCGAACAATTCAAGGAGGTGCTGGCCGCA